TTTTTTTTTTTTTTTTTTTTTTTTTTTTGAACAGCAATAATGCAAAAAATGTTCACAAGACGTCTGATTAGGATGCAGAACGAAAATTTCTTTCTCAATATCTTCATTTGGATATTGATACAAAATTTAGATGATTCATATAATTTTTTTCTTCCCAGTAGCATCGTGCATTTTTTCCGCTCAAAATGAGATGTGCATACATAAGAGATATTGGAGATAAGAGGAGAATTTGAATAAAATGCATTATAAAAAAACATCCATTGTTTACGTTTAATGTTTAACATTGATGAGAAGTTATTTATGAATACATAAAAATATAACTTTTAAATAGAATATATTAAAAAGGAAAATGAGATGCATAATTTGAAGGTTTATTGTGTCAGAAATTTTTTTATCGAATTATATATATACAATTATTTATGATGAAAAGAAATTGGAATATTTAATATCGAAGAATACTTTCATGAGCTTTCTCTCTCTTATTTCCTTCATTCTTCTGCAACCAATATGCAGATGTATTTTCGCTATCCACGCGTTGATTCTCGATGAGAAAATTCCCGCTTTAGGAAATCCTATTCGAGCCATAATCGAGATTATGCTGAGAGATGTGCCACAAAAAGCAATTTGCGGTAGAGAGTTAATAATATATAATTATTTATTTTTCTTCAGGAGATCAAAGTGAACAAAAAATAACAAAAGTCGACGTTCATCGACCCCGATTCGGTTGGCGACAAACTTCGGCTCTTTTTCCTTCTCAAGGCGAGATGTGTGTTTGAAATAATTTACTTATTGTCCATAAGGCACATTTCGCACATCTCGTTACCCTTATTATTCTGTTACCAAATTGAACTAAAAGCGCTAAAATCTGAATAATAATACTGAAACATATTACAGATTGTCTTTAATTTCTATAAAGCAAAAGTTATCAATATTTTCAGTGAACGAGAAAACTTTGCAATTATCTCGTACATCTGATTAATCGAATCTTTCGAAAATTTTTCTTGCGGATGTAATATAAATATAAATATTCTTTTATTTTATTAATTAAGTAAATATGAGATAATTTTTGCCATAAGATATGCGACAGACATTTAATATTTTCTTATACATTAAAATTTCAACTTTTTATATTTTAATATTTAACTATTTTTATATTTACGTATTAAATTGCTTATAATTTTATTTATTATACATATTTAATTTTTTTGCAATAACAATTTTGATCAGTGACTTCTATTTTATCGACTGTGTAAAAGGAAGTCGATGATTGGTGGCCGCTATGGCGGTTCGAGCAAAAGTAGCGACTTCCTCGTGATTCCCGTGGTTTTCAGAGATTTCGTTCATTCCATTCGAGATCGTGTCAAAAGATGAGGGTAACCATAAATTGCTTAAACTGCCCAATTTCTAGATTTTTTGCGAGATTCCATGGATATAGAAGTGCCATTACATACAATTCAGACATTCCCGTCGCACTGAAAATAACGTGCTACGGGTACCGTAATTTCTAATTACGGTTCTGTCCGATGGTTTCTGTCAGTTTCCGCGCTTGCGATTTGCGATGGTCGTGACGTGCAGTCGGCGCTAAGCGACGGACGCGGACGCGCGTCACTGAGATTCGGTGTGGATCAACGGGATCCCGGATTAGTCAGTGAAAGAAAGAGAAAGAGAGAGGGAGAGATGTTCGGCGACAAGGGAACGACGATCGGATGCTGTCTCGCGTGGTGCTACGTCTTCCTGACATACCATGTGGTCAGCGAGACACCAGCAGTTGATGCTAACGGTATGTCACGATCGCCCTTTCGGCGAACAAGAAGATCGATACAGAGAGAGAAAAAGAGAGAAACATCAGCCCCATTCATTTTTTTTTTTTTTTTCAAAGTGAACAAAAAATAACAAAAGTCGACGTTCATCGACCCCGATTCGGTTGGCGACAAACTTCGGCTCTTTTTCCTTCTCGAGGCGAGATGTGTGCTTGAAATAATTTACTTATTAATGTCCATAAGGCACATTTCGCACATCTCGTTACCCTTATTATTCTGTTACCAAATTGAACTAAAAGCGCTAAAATCTGAATAATAATACTGAAACATATTACAGATTGTCTTTAATTTCTATAAAGCAAAAGTTATCAATATTTTCAGTGAACGAGAAAACTTTGCAATGATCTCGTACATCTGATTAATCGAATCTTTCGAAAATTTTTCTTGCGGATAAAGGCAGATTCGAAGAATGCTAAAGATAAAGTCACAAAGACTATCTGTAAGAGGCATAATCTAAATAAAGTTTAATATTTCTTTTTGCGTGCGATTGGACTTTAATCGTTGCTTAAATGATTATATAACGCGATTCTTTATTTTTATTATAGCAGTATAAACAGCAACGTTTTCTTTATATGGTAAAAATAAAGGATAGCATTTATGCATTGAAGCATAATTTATCATTCAGTTCTCAAGCGACGAGAACGTATTCATAACGAATATGCAGCATGACATAATCGTTTCGTTTATGGAACGTCAACTAATTTAATACGATTCCATATTCTTTTAGTCGGCATGTAACCGGATCGAGTGCGTGGTCCTTATCATTTCATTTCCGTTGTTGCTCATCGCACGAGTAGAGACACGAGACCTCGAAATTTCTTGACTCAATCGTTGTTTTTTATAATTCGGAGATTAACGCAGATCACTACTTTTATATAACTGCGAGATTAATATATCTCTTATCACATTAATGTCATATAGCATACATATATATTTCCGCAAGATTTCATACAATTTTCTCGTAAATTATTCAACAAAATGTATATTTGTAATCGTCTTTCATTTCCATTAGAAAGCTCTTAAAGGCATTTTTCCTCGAATTTCCACGGACGTTCGAAATCGCCCGTTCTAAGAATATCCCGAGAGTAGCTTGCGTAAGAGTGTATTGATGGCTCAGTAATACAAGCGGAGTGGAAATGCAGCCGGTATACGTGCTGCGGTCCTCGTGGGCGCTACTTCTCGACATGACATCACGATGAGCTCGATGCGCGATGCTAACGAGTTCATCGGCTGACTAACAATGACGGAATCGATTTATAACTTTGTCCCCGATGTTGAATAAGGATGATCTGCTTTTCAGCATCGTCAACTAGGTCTCAAGACTTTTTCTCTGAAAATTGTTTATTTATTTTTCAACGAGTCTCTTCTTTTTAAAGAAGGATAACTTTGTAAAAATATGACAATTAGAAATATGTGTTTTTTTTTTTTTTTTTTTTTTTTTTTTTTTTTTTTTTTGAACAGCAATAATGCAAAAAATGTTCACAAGACGTCTGATTAGGATGCAGAACGAAAATTTCTTTCTCAATATCTTCATTTGGATATTGATACAAAATTTAGATGATTCATATAATTTTTTTCTTCCCAGTAGCATCGTGCATTTTTTCCGCTCAAAATGAGATGTGCATACATAAGAGATATTGGAGATAAGAGGAGAATTTGAATAAAATGCATTATAAAAAAACATCCATTGTTTACGTTTAATGTTTAACATTGATGAGAAGTTATTTATGAATACATAAAAATATAACTTTTAAATAGAATATATTAAAAAGGAAAATGAGATGCATAATTTGAAGGTTTATTGTGTCAGAAATTTTTTTATCGAATTATATATATACAATTATTTATGATGAAAAGAAATTGGAATATTTAATATCGAAGAATACTTTCATGAGCTTTCTCTCTCTTATTTCCTTCATTCTTCTGCAACCAATATGCAGATGTATTTTCGCTATCCACGCGTTGATTCTCGATGAGAAAATTCCCGCTTTAGGAAATCCTATTCGAGCCATAATCGAGATTATGCTGAGAGATGTGCCACAAAAAGCAATTTGCGGTAGAGAGTTAATAATATATAATTATTTATTTTTCTTCAGGAGATCAAAGTGAACAAAAAATAACAAAAGTCGACGTTCATCGACCCCGATTCGGTTGGCGACAAACTTCCGCTCTTTTTCCTTCTCAAGGCGAGATGTGTGTTTGAAATAATTTACTTATTGTCCATAAGGCACATTTCGCACATCTCGTTACCCTTATTATTCTGTTACCAAATTGAACTAAAAGCGCTAAAATCTGAATAATAATACTGAAACATATTACAGATTGTCTTTAATTTCTATAAAGCAAAAGTTATCAATATTTTCAGTGAACGAGAAAACTTTGCAATTATCTCGTACATCTGATTAATCGAATCTTTCGAAAATTTTTCTTGCGGATAAAGGCAGATTCGAAGAATGCTAAAGATAAAGTCACAAAGACTATCTGTAAGAGGCATAATCTAAATAAAGTTTAATATTTCTTTTTGCGTGCGATTGGACTTTAATCGTTGCTTAAATGATTATATAACGCGATTCTTTATTTTTATTATAGCAGTATAAACAGCAACGTTTTCTTTATATGGTAAAAATAAAGGATAGCATTTATGCATTGAAGCATAATTTATCATTCAGTTCTCAAGCGACGAGAACGTATTCATAACGAATATGCAGCATGACATAATCGTTTCGTTTATGGAACGTCAACTAATTTAATACGATTCCATATTCTTTTAGTCGGCATGTAACCGGATCGAGTGCGTGGTCCTTATCATTTCATTTCCGTTGTTGCTCATCGCACGAGTAGAGACACGAGACCTCGAAATTTCTTGACTCAATCGTTGTTTTTTATAATTCGGAGATTAACGCAGATCACTACTTTTATATAACTGCGAGATTAATATATCTCTTATCACATTAATGTCATATAGCATACATATATATTTCCGCAAGATTTCATACAATTTTCTCGTAAATTATTCAACAAAATGTATATTTGTAATCGTCTTTCATTTCCATTAGAAAGCTCTTAAAGGCATTTTTCCTCGAATTTCCACGGACGTTCGTTTTTTTTTTTTTTTTTTTTTTTTTTTTGAACAGCAATAATGCAAAAAATGTTCACAAGACGTCTGATTAGGATGCAGAACGAAAATTTCTTTCTCAATATCTTCATTTGGATATTGATACAAAATTTAGATGATTCATATAATTTTTTTCTTCCCAGTAGCATCGTGCATTTTTTCCGCTCAAAATGAGATGTGCATACATAAGAGATATTGGAGATAAGAGGAGAATTTGAATAAAATGCATTATAAAAAAACATCCATTGTTTACGTTTAATGTTTAACATTGATGAGAAGTTATTTATGAATACATAAAAATATAACTTTTAAATAGAATATATTAAAAAGGAAAATGAGATGCATAATTTGAAGGTTTATTGTGTCAGAAATTTTTTTATCGAATTATATATATACAATTATTTATGATGAAAAGAAATTGGAATATTTAATATCGAAGAATACTTTCATGAGCTTTCTCTCTCTTATTTCCTTCATTCTTCTGCAACCAATATGCAGATGTATTTTCGCTATCCACGCGTTGATTCTCGATGAGAAAATTCCCGCTTTAGGAAATCCTATTCGAGCCATAATCGAGATTATGCTGAGAGATGTGCCACAAAAAGCAATTTGCGGTAGAGAGTTAATAATATATAATTATTTATTTTTCTTCAGGAGATCAAAGTGAACAAAAAATAACAAAAGTCGACGTTCATCGACCCCGATTCGGTTGGCGACAAACTTCGGCTCTTTTTCCTTCTCGAGGCGAGATGTGTGCTTGAAATAATTTACTTATTAATGTCCATAAGGCACATTTCGCACATCTCGTTACCCTTATTATTCTGTTACCAAATTGAACTAAAAGCGCTAAAATCTGAATAATAATACTGAAACATATTACAGATTGTCTTTAATTTCTATAAAGCAAAAGTTATCAATATTTTCAGTGAACGAGAAAACTTTGCAATTATCTCGTACATCTGATTAATCGAATCTTTCGAAAATTTTTCTTGCGGATAAAGGCAGATTCGAAGAATGCTAAAGATAAAGTCACAAAGACTATCTGTAAGAGGCATAATCTAAATAAAGTTTAATATTTCTTTTTGCGTGCGATTGGACTTTAATCGTTGCTTAAATGATTATATAACGCGATTCTTTATTTTTATTATAGCAGTATAAACAGCAACGTTTTCTTTATATGGTAAAAATAAAGGATAGCATTTATGCATTGAAGCATAATTTATCATTCAGTTCTCAAGCGACGAGAACGTATTCATAACGAATATGCAGCATGACATAATCGTTTCGTTTATGGAACGTCAACTAATTTAATACGATTCCATATTCTTTTAGTCGGCATGTAACCGGATCGAGTGCGTGGTCCTTATCATTTCATTTCCGTTGTTGCTCATCGCACGAGTAGAGACACGAGACCTCGAAATTTCTTGACTCAATCGTTGTTTTTTATAATTCGGAGATTAACGCAGATCACTACTTTTATATAACTGCGAGATTAATATATCTCTTATCACATTAATGTCATATAGCATACATATATATTTCCGCAAGATTTCATACAATTTTCTCGTAAATTATTCAACAAAATGTATATTTGTAATCGTCTTTCATTTCCATTAGAAAGCTCTTAAAGGCATTTTTCCTCGAATTTCCACGGACGTTCGAAATCGCCCGTTCTAAGAATATCCCGAGAGTAGCTTGCGTAAGAGTGTATTGATGGCTCAGTAATACAAGCGGAGTGGAAATGCAGCCGGTATACGTGCTGCGGTCCTCGTGGGCGCTACTTCTCGACATGACATCACGATGAGCTCGATGCGCGATGCTAACGAGTTCATCGGCTGACTAACAATGACGGAATCGATTTATAACTTTGTCCCCGATGTTGAATAAGGATGATCTGCTTTTCAGCATCGTCAACTAGGTCTCAAGACTTTTTCTCTGAAAATTGTTTATTTATTTTTCAACGAGTCTCTTCTTTTTAAAGAAGGATAACTTTGTAAAAATATGACAATTAGAAATATGTGAATTCTGTGATCGCATTAAATTTACAACTATTATTTCTTTTTTTCATCTAATCACTAATTTAGCTAATTATTATATTTCAGATGTCCTGGTACTTACCGTCGCATCCAACGAGACGGATGGCTTCCAAAGATACCTGAGGTCGGTCGAGGTCTACGGTCTTCGCGATAACTTGAAGATTCTCGGGCTAGGCGAGCCATGGAGAGGTGGTATCAACATGAATTATCCCGGCGGTGGATATAAAATTAATCTTCTCAAAAAAGCCTTAGAGGATTATCGGAACGATGAGAAAAAAATCGTCTTATTCACCGATAGGTTAATATATTGTAATGTTGCGGAAAAAAAAAACATTTTCTAATGCATACAGAACATATATATATATATATTTCCTATACATTTCCTATACTTTCAGTTACGATGTAATATTTCTTGGCGGTTTGTCTGCCATCGTCGAGCGATTCCTGGATATTGATGCTCGAGTCTTATTCTCCGCGGAAGCTTATTGCTGGCCGGATAGATCCTTGGCGCTTCAATATCCGTCCGTATCTCGGGGTAAACGGTACCTGAACTCCGGAGGTTTCATCGGATACGTGTCTGATGTGTACGAGATCCTGGACAAGGCGTTGATCAAAGATGAGGACGATGATCAGTTGTTTTATACGACCATCTACCTACAGGACGCGCTTAGGATGCGACATAAGATCAAGCTGGATCACAAATCCGAGATATTCCAAAATCTCAATGGTGCGGTAGGTAAGGGCTAACGTGAATCCGATATAAGGAGAGCATCGCGTGATATTAGTTATAATTTAATTGTTATTACTGTCGCGCGATTTTTACAGCCGATGTGGAGCTCAGGTTCAAAGGAGAAGAGGCTTATCTTCAAAACATTGTTTACAACACGGTGCCCTTAATACTCCACGGCAACGGGCCTAACAAGCTGGTTTTAAATTCCTTGGGCAATTATCTGGCTCATGCCTGGACACCGAAAGAGGGATGTTTGGCTTGCTGGGACCGAACCATCGAACTCAACAAAAACTCGACGGAAACATATCCGATTATTTTAATAGCCATATTCATCGAACAACCTACGCCATTCTTGGAAGAATTCTTTCAAGCTATCTATCGTCAAGCCTATCCAAAATCGAGACTGCATCTGCTCGTTCACAACAATGTGCCTTATCACCAAAGCGTGGTCTCTGACTTCTTCGAGAGAGTTAGCCGAGAATATCTGAGCGCGAAACAAATATCTATATTGCCGAAAGACGTAATCAGCGAAATTGACGCGAGAAAATTAGCGTTGTAAGTGTAATGATTTGCAATATTTATCTATTATCTATTATCTAAAGAGTTAAATGTTAAAAATTGCGATTTAATATTAAAGCGAGCGTCATTTCTAAAAATGTTAAAGAGCGATCTATTTCGTAGGGAGCATTGCTTGTTGAAGGAGTGTTCCGGATATTTGTCAGTTGACGCGGTCGCGCACTTGGACAATGAGCACACGTTGAAGTTACTGGTGGAGCAGCAGAGAGGGATCGTCGCACCCTTACTTATTCGACCAAATACGTTATGGAGCAACTTTTGGGGCGCTGTAACGAATGACGGATTTTACGCGCGGAGCTTCGATTACATGGAGATAATAAAGAACGTACGCAGGTATAGTGAATTCACAAATATCAATTTTTTATATATATTTTGTCTTAATCGACTATGATTGTATGCCCATTACTCATTGATTCTGCTTTAGAAGAAAGCAGTTTATTATTCTAGATAAGACATTTCGCGATTTTCTAAGCTCGCTTTTCTCGCGATTGGGATTAAAAAGATTTCTTTTAATTTTTTATCAGGACAATTTAGTTTTTTCCATCTCTCCATATAAGTTACAATAAAAATACATATCGTTCTAAACCGTTTTCTTAAGATCTATCGCTTCCTAGTGTCTATTACAAAAATTTTAAATGTTACCTGGGATTTACATGTTTTACCTAGTTTATGAGTTTATTTCGGATTTCTCGTACTAATCAAAAGCGATGGAGAAGTCAGTCTTGAAAGACCTTCGATCGATGCTGTACATGTTGTCTGCCGTGCACTCGTAAACCCCGGCGTCCATTTGAGTGGCGGGATCGATCTCGATTTTCGATTTCACTTTGTCAGTTCCAACTTGCCACTCGTGTATCTGCAAGGAAATGAGATATAATTTCAGCGATAGAATATCATAATTTATTATCGAATATAAATATGTGTCAGCTTGTTTATGCTTGAAGATTTTTTTAACGAGAAGAATCTCTCTTTAAGCGCAAACACGAGATTAATATTTTTTATATATATAGAATTTATACTGACATGTAGATAGTGATGCGTGTAAATCTCGGCACCATCCTTGAACCACGTGATCTGCGGACGCGGATTACCTTTAGCGAGACAAAGAAAAGCTATTTTGTGTCCCAAGACATATTCCAGATCGAAGTGCGATGCCAGAATTATCTTGGCTCCCTAAAATGATTAATATACCAACAACAATTTTAATCTGGCATTAGAAAAATGCGTAATAAAGAAAGGCGAAAAAAAATTAAGCGGCTCCTTTTAGGCACTCTTCTTTTTTACGTACATCGTGATGGTTGTAATATTGATCACTTTCCGGATCACGGTACTTTCCGGTAATAGGCAATCCAATCTGCACACGAGATTTGCTTCTACCTCTTGCTCGGCCTCTTCGACCAAGCGTCTCTTGGCAATTGAGCAATAATATACCCAACAGGATCAGTAACAGCATAGAACGTGACATGATAAATCTAATAAAAGCGGAATCAAACATTAATCCATAATATTTTCTATACAGTTTTTGAAATTGCAGATTCGAAATCATTTAATCGATTTTCAGGTCAAAGGAGCGATTGAAATTAACATTACACTTGCACAAATCGAAAAATTAAATATTATTATTATATATTTATATAGCGTATAAAATGGATGTTGGAAATCCTGCTCAATTGAAACGTATTTATATCATAGCGAATGCATTGAGGATACTCACCGTATGTAGCAACGTTCGTCGATCACACGGAACTCCGATGCGACTGACAGTCACCTACCTACTCATTACTCCCCTAGTGTCCTCTCGTATCTATTACAGACTTATATGCAGATAAACTGTCTATGCGCTATACGTACAGTGGTTATTCCTTTGGTCCACATGATCACCATCAATTTCTATCAAATCTACGGACCGCTTATCCATTAATTTAACGATATCCATTCCTTCCGGATGATTCACATTTTCGGTTCGGCGATTTTGCGACATTTTTTGCGTTTTTACATTAATTGTCTAACGCAAAAGACACGATTTGATTGAAATTAAAATTCACGAGAATAAATTATATTGCATATATCGAGAAATCAAAATTGAAGAAAAATGGAAGGAACTACGGAAAAAAAATAAACATGCTCACAACGCATTTGTAACACCCGTACTAATTGTTTATTTCATGTTTGCTATAAATCATTACGTTCGCCAATGGCAACGCAGCGAAATATGCCCTTCCATACCACTTTTCGTGTCGCGGCACGACACAATTACCTTGTTAAATTTGCAGTGATGAACCATTTTCGATATGTTCCTCACGCTACCCTTTATAATACTCAATCATGCTTTAACGAATAAGAATTGGGAGGGGAACCTCCTGCATCTCTTTGCATATCTCATTGACAAACTAAATGAATCTGTTTTGCTCGCGTTAAAGAAAAAGGAAAGCTATATTTTGTCATGCAAAATATTTTACGATGCATTATACATTTGCTATATAAATTTTATATCTGATGTTGATATATATGTTGTAGAACAGATAGCCGCGTAGAGGAAGAGGCGAAGAAAGTGCTTGAGTCTATTTTATCAATTATATTTATAATTATGTGTGAATCCAATTTCTTAGATCATCTAACGATGATCTTAAGAGATTTCCCGTTTTTCGCGTGATGTTTCGATCAGTAACTAATAATGCATCTACTTTTCATCAGGTAAAAATCTATCAAATAGTAAATATTTTCGCAGTATAACAAATATCTATTAGCTATTGTTGAAAAAATATTATTTATTCTATTACACTATGCGGTCGCGGAGCTACGATCGGAGAACGCGTTTAATACGAGATCATGACGTAGTCCGTTCTGAAGCCCCGACGATCGACGGCATACTGATTATCCGCCTGACATTCATAGTATCCCGCGTCCTTCTGCGTCGCAGGATCAATCTCCATTTTCGACTTTATCGTGTCGTTGCCGACGGGCCACTCGTGCACCTGGCGATTTAAACGATTCCCTCGATTTTCTCGTGGTCGTTTGTGATAAATATTCTCTAAATTATATGGTTTTTTTTTAGG